AAATCACACCCTCAAAGTTTAAAACCACAAAAATGGGCTAAAATTTTAAAACTTGGCAAAGAAAAGTGTAATTGTTTGGTATTTTTCATATATATATATTAAAATTTCTAATTTAGGGATTTACTATCCATTTTCAGCATCTAAGAATAGTCTAAGTTGATACTGGTAAACAAAAACAATAAGAATTGATTAAAAACATCCGGTTAATGGATAAAAATTTTATATATATATATATATATATATATATATTAAAATTTCTAATTTAGGGATTTACTATCCATTTTCATCATCTAAGAATAGTCCAAGTTGATACTGGTAAACAAAAACAATAAGAATTGGTTAAAAACATCCGGTTAATGGATAAAAATTTTAAAAATATTATAAATTAAAAATTATCGGCACTATATAAATTAAAGTAATTTCATATGATTTTAGTAATAAGTTAGGGTAGCCAAAATACATTCGTAACATTAATTGATATATGTTTAAATCCATAGAAATGATTATAATATTATACCTTAGTATTAATTGATTTTAATTTAGAAACTTTAATCTTTGACGTTAATAATATTTATAGGGTAAAAGAATACAAGGAATTACATATGGAGAAACTATTAGAATACTTAGAGATAACTTTAAAAGAATTGAGCTATTTCCATTGCAAATGGGAAAGTGATGGAAATAAATCTAAAATTCAGAAAACGTCAATGAATCACTTGAATTGGCATTAACATAAGATATATTTATTAGTGAAGCACTGAATGAGTTACATTAAAAAATAATTTAATAACTTTATCCTAATCAAAGAAAAAATCTTCATGGAAGACATAAGAAAAATTAGTAAGTATTCATAAATTACATATTGTGTTCTTCAAATTAAATATTAATATTATAATATAAGAGAAATTGGTAATGAATAATGCAGGTATTTAGTTTAGATCTTTATGGAAAATAACAGGGATAGAGCAAAGGTAATGTTATTGAAATAACAGAAATTCTTATTGGATGCACATCAGAAGAATTTATTTTAGAGGAAAATAAAGAGATAGGTTCTAATTTATTTAAGTAATAAATTAGGAACACAAAGAATTTTATATATATGAAATTAATATTTATTCTCATTGAAATAGAAAAAAAAATCAAAATCTATATTTTGAGCAGTTTGTGTTGTCATAAGTACATTTGACTTCTTTGTGAAGTTAAATGAGATGATAAAAAATTAACGAGCCCAGGAAAGATAACAGAATGAAAAATACAAATTTAGCCTGATGTCACAATTGATGTAGATGATGAAGACACTACTCTAGAATTGTCCGAGAAATGATAAATGATAAACCTGAAGAAGGATTGATCTTAACTCAATAAAAAATAAAATAGATGAAATAAAAGACAATATTTTCTGAATATTTTATAGAATAGTCTAATTATTTTGAGTGAAATTAGGAATCTTTAGAAGGGAATTTCATGAATATTTCCAGTACTTTTATATTCTTATGTGTATGTTTTTATCATATAAAAGTATACTAGAGTTAGCATTAATTTTTAATTTATATTTTTTTATAAAGTCTATCAATGATTAGGAATAAACTTCATATTCTCTTTTGCATCGTTTTAACATACTTTAAATCAATCATTTTGCCATATTGGTTTTAAATATTCACCTTTCTTGTATAATACTATTTTAATATTTTTTACTTTGCAACGCTATACTTTCTCAAATAAAGCTTAGTTTCATATCGGTCAAAAATAATATGAAAATTAAAATTATTTTTAAATTATATTTGTTTTTTGTTAATTCAAATATCAATATGAAAATTTAAATTGAGTGTATCCCATTTAAACAAACATAAAAAAATAATCGGGATGTAAGAGTTTAAAGACAAAAGTGAGCACAAACTGCCAAAAATACTTAATCATGGTATTAAATCACGAGCATTGCACGTGTGTAAAAACTAGTATATATATATATATATATATATATATATATAAATCGAATTTTATTCAAGTTTATCCTCCAATCAAGAAGAGAAGATGGCCCACGGTCAATAATCCCATCACTAGGATTCTTCTGTCTTTTTTTTCTCAGTACATGCCCACCCCCACCAAAAAAAAACAACCCCACCCTACCCCCCAAAAAAATATAAATTGATCGAAAATGCCATTTGACACGCAAGATGGTCGCACAACCCATCTCGCGTGCCACAACAGGGGGTGAGACCCACAGCCAGATGTGGGTCCTTTCCTTGCTCCAGCATTATTTTGTATTTTTTTTCTTTGCTCGTTGATCAAATTGTTTGTGGTATCATGTGAGATCGCGTGAACGTAATTAGTCGTTATTAAGCGGCTGACGTGGTTAATTATGGGAGTTAGCTAGGTATTAAGGGGGTGGGTACTGAAATAAGCCTACAATTTGCCAAATTGCCCCTTTTCTTCAAAATTGAAGAAAAGATAGAGGGAGCAAGCTGAGGGGAATCGACCTCGATATTATTGGTTTCAGTTTAGGGAGAGAACGTGAGGACTGAAAGAAGGAGAGAGGTGATGGGTACTTCTCAAATACCGTTCTTCATAGTGGTTCCAAAAAGTAAGACATCGATCCTGTTTGAAGTGATGCATAGATCTTTGAGTCTGTAAAACCTAAGCTTGTGTAACTCGGAGATCTATGCTAAGAGTTCATGTGAAAGTACCACAAGGGGGTCGAATCAGGATTACTTGAAAGTCTTTCAAATTTCTTATGTTCTTTTAGTTTCTCAATATCATAAATGCCTTTGAGATTCATGAATCTCCCATGTTTGACGGGTTGTTTCAAGCCTGTATAAATCTAATGGAAATGGGAAGTTGTGTTTTGATTAAAATTAAGCTTTGTGTGTTTATTCTTGCTCTATATTTTTTTGGTGGATTTCATCGAGCGTGAGTGTTTATTTGTATCTCTAAGGTAGGGTCCTTTAGGGGTGGCAGTTTTTGACCCGACCCATCAACCCGACCCGACCCGACCCGTTTATATTAGGTATGAGTCAAATTATATGGGTCGGGTCATAAACGGGTCAACCCGAATTGACCCATTTATTAGATGGGTAAGTTAGGGTTGACCTGCCTAACCCGTATAACACAAAGAGCCGACCCGTATAAGTTTATAACACCGACCGCGATTGAAAAGTCGGGTCTCTCTTCGTCTCTCATAAACGAAACCCTAGTTTCCCATCTGCGTGTGGCGGCGAGAGGCGAGCGGCGGCGAGAGGCGAGCGGCGGCGAGAGGCGAGCGGCAGCGAGGAGCGAGCAAGTTCTCTCTTTCTCTCTCTAAGCTTCAACAAAATTAGGTTTCTTTCGTTCTTATATTCAATAATTTCTCTTTTCCCCCCTTTCAACTTGGTTTATTTTTTGCTGATTAAATGGCTTGTTTGATTCGCTGTAACTATTTGAGTTATATTTGCAATTGTGTGTAACCGAGGCATTTTAGATCAAGTATGACATAAGTTTTCTCATGTATGAAAGTTATTGAATGAACCAAGGAACTCAAAATGAATGCTTCTGTTATTTATGGAAGTAATAAGACTTACAATACGATTGGCCATGCTTGTGTTCTAATGAGGAAGGAGCTTGAGCAGTATATGGATTATGATGTTGGATCCTATTGCAAGGATGATTGGAATTTAGCCCAAAAGCTAATATTGGGTGGGTGTGATCCACTGCCTAGAAGGAGATGTTTGAATCGAGCATCTAGAGTGTATCAAAAGCCACTTCCGATAAATGAATCTCTTTGGCAATTACCAGATGATAGAAATGTGTGGTGGAACAATTATCGGTGCAGGAACTTCAAATGTCTTGAGAGAAAGAATCCACAAAAGGGATTTACCAAGTGTTCAGGATGCTTTGAAATGTTAAAGGAGAAGGTAGTCATATTCGAAGTTTTTGACTTGCAGTCATTCATTTAGGATAATTTCAGCCACAGTTCATTTGATTTTTTTTTGTGCATGTTTTTTATTGAATTATTTAGTGACTGTTGCCATATGTTTGCATATTTTGCATCTATATGCTACAAAACATTCTTAAGTGTTACATTTTTGGACAGTCATGACCGCAAAACCACATGCATTCAGTTTCTTGATATATAGTTACATGCATGCAGTTTCTTGATGTATAGTTCTTTGTAACAACTACTCCTTTATGTACAAGATTGAGCAGCTGTAATTTGATAAGTTCATTTATAATTTTCTTGATGTTCTGGATACTAGATGCTTCTTGCTTTCTTTTAACTAAGAAAGGTGTATAAAAATGTTATGCTACCAATATGACTCTGAACACTAATTGTGCACCTTTTCTCAACAGTAAAAAGAGACTATAAAAACATTGTTCTTTGGAGGATTGACTTGGCTTAGTAGCATCTAAAAGATTGCCTTTTGTAGAAAAGATTTACTGATTGTAGATTATTATGTTGCTTGGTTAAAAAATTTATAGTATTTGCTCCAATGCTCATTTATAAATCTCCTTTTTTTTTCCTCAAGCATTCAAATCCTTACCATTGCAAATGTAGTCCCCCTAAAAAAAGCATTTGTTTAGCCACTAGGCTTCAGTTTTGCTTAGCAACTCACTAGAAGTGCTATTAGAGAGAGAGAGAGAATGTGTGTGTGTGTTTTTAATCTTCAATTGGATCATCTTTGCTCCATTTCTTATGACCATATTTGCTAGAGTAAAGATGTATAAAAGACTAAAAGAGACTTGGTTCTTATATCAAGTGTGTTATTGTTGATATCTTGGCTGTCGGTGATCTTCTGGTTATCAGAAGTAAATATTCCTTCAGTTCAGGAAATTTCCACAGGTTTGGGAAGCGTTAATCAAGTTATCAGAAGAGAAGATTATTTCTTCTACCAATTATATGTTATCCTTCATGCAATTTGTTGTCCCTGGCCCTGATTCATCTTGATTGCGATTTGCACTAAAGCCTAATACCTGCATAAGTTCCTCAGTAACCCTAGCTTGCTGATTACAGTATATGTTGAGATATCTGACAGATAAATTTCTGTATATTTTCTGATTGCAGGTTGAACTACTTATCTTCTGCATCAGTTACACCAGATGAAATAGTCAATAAAGATGCTGATCAGTGAGCGAAACTGCTGCGTTTTGGGGTCACAATGCTGATCAGTGAGCGAAACTAGTGACAACAAAACACTGTTAAGTCAGGCTCGGCCACCTGCGTCGCTGCGCAGAATTCTGAACCGATCATCGTCTTGGTCCGTGTCATTGTCACCTTCATTCAATTCCATGGTCTTAAACATCCATGACAAGTTTCGCTGCCCGATAATTGCATTTTTTGTAAATTTGGAGATGAGACAGTTAAATTTTTTGTAAATTGTAATTACATTTTTTGTAAATTTGGAGATGGACTATGATAATATCAATCAAGTTCCTAACTATTTTGTCGTAAACTTGTGTATATTCTCTTTATTTACTTGTGTTAAATTCTTTGATGCTAGTTCTTAGTTTAGATTATTTTGTGTCTAAAGAGTTGCATCGATGTATTTTTGTTTGTCGATATTTGCAATTCGTTGAAGTACATTTAAATATTGAATATGTCTTTGAAATAAATCCATGTTGTAAGTAGAGAGAGTTTTTGTCTAAAGAGCTTGCAAGAAGTGTTCTTTTGTGTATGTATAAAATTTTTTACTAGTTATGTGTGTTAGGATATGTCTTTTATTAGATAAATGGGTTATTCGGGTTATATGGGTCGGGTCGGGTAACCCGTTTAATAATTGGGTCGGATCACATTGACCCATTTATTAAACGGGTCGGGTCGGGTCACACTTATACGGGTCGGGTCAAATTTTATACGGGTCGGGTCGGGTCGGGTCGACCCATTTGCCACCCCTAGGGTCCTTAGAGTGATAATTTGTCAAATCTATCTAAAAATGTGATACCTGTATCTCTAGATTATGTTGGATTTTTTGGTCAAAACTGCTTTCCAAAATGAGTTTTGAAACTATATTCATATATATTAACTACAAGTATTTTTCATAAATGCTTAGTAGCCTAGTGGAAAGTTAATATTTTGGTGTTTCAAAAGGTCCTCTATTCGAAGCTTGCTAACGGTAAGCTGAGAAGTGTTTTGTTTTTTTGTTTTAATTAATCCCTTATAAGTTCTAGTAGGCCGTGGGCCGGGGATTAGGACTAATCGGGCTGAGGCGCTAAGTGACGCTTTGTTAGACGCACTTTGCACTTCGCACGGAGACATCAGGGCTAGGTGGCACCACGTTGGCTGTCACTATGATCGCCACTATGGTCGCTACGAAGGCTGCTTTGCAGCATGTGGACGAGCTACGCATTCGCACGAGGGTATGACCCTAATGTTCTCGAAATTAGACGAGGTTCGTCGAGGTTCGTCTGATTCACAAGATCAGGCGAGGTTCGTCTGTTTGACGAGGTTCGCTCGTCAAATGAGGTTCACCTGTTTGTCGAGGTTCGCTCGTCAAACGAGGTTCGCCCGTCAAATGAGATTCGCATGTTTGACGAGGTTCGCTCGTCAAACGAGGAACCTCGTCAAATGAGGTTCGCCTGTTTGACGAGTTTCGCTCGTTCGACGAGGTTCGCCTGTTCATCGAAGTTCGTCCGTTCGACGAGGTTCGCCCGTTCGACGAGGTTCGTCTGATTTGCTTACACGTGACCCTCGCGTATCGTAGTAATACGTCCATTGATTGCCTCGTATTCAGGAGTTACTGCATGCAACAGTTACAACGGTATTTAGAGTAATTTAATGCATTGATATTACAATCATAATTGTCATTGCGAATTGTAACAGTCACATTAATTGAGGGTGACTTTTGAGCTGGTCTTAGAGGCCTATAAATAGCGTCCTTGGGCAGCTCTTGTAGTTTGTTAGAGAACTTGGAATACGAACGTCGGATCGAGGAGATCTTGACGTTGTTGCTGCTGTTGTGCTGCTGCTGCAGAAACTGTGCCCGAACGAACTTTCCCTGAAACCGAAAGGTTTTGAAGTGAAAGGTTCTGAGATCAAGGAGATATATGCCTTGACCGAAAGGTCTTTTAGATCGAGGAGATCTTGACAATACTGATTTGATGCACATCAGAGTATTGTACTGCTGTTCCTGGAAGCAGTTTGGCCTTGGGATCATTACACCGAAGAAACGAGGAACCTCGTCAAATGAGGTTCGCCTGTTTGACGAGTTTCGCTCGTTCGACGAGGTTCGCCTGTTCATCGAAGTTCGTCCGTTCGACGAGGTTCGCCCGTTCGACGAGGTTCGTCTGATTTGCTTACACGTGACCCTCGCGTATCGTAGTAATACGTCCATTGATTGCCTCGTATTCAGGAGTTACTGCATGCAACAGTTACAACGGTATTTAGAGTAATTTAATGCATTGATATTACAATCATAATTGTCATTGCGAATTGTAACAGTCACATTAATTGAGGGTGACTTTTGAGCTGGTCTTAGAGGCCTATAAATAGCGTCCTTGGGCAGCTCTTGTAGTTTGTTAGAGAACTTGGAATACGAACGTCGGATCGAGGAGATCTTGACGTTGTTGCTGCTGTTGTGCTGCTGCTGCAGAAACTGTGCCCGAACGAACTTTCCCTGAAACCGAAAGGTTTTGAAGTGAAAGGTTCTGAGATCAAGGAGATATATGCCTTGACCGAAAGGTCTTTTAGATCGAGGAGATCTTGACAATACTGATTTGATGCACATCAGAGTATTGTACTGCTGTTCCTGGAAGCAGTTTGGCCTTGGGATCATTACACCGAAGTAGGCCAAATATTGTTTTTAGCATAACGTTTCGCAAACGCACAGCAGTGAACTGAAAAGTTTAAAATTACAACACATCATCTTTTACTGTTTTATTCCAGATATAACCACAATTTCCAATAGATTGATCAGCTAAACCTATTACCCATCGCTTAATGTATAAATCTTTTGAGTGATCGACATCTCATCCGATTATCCATTCATCAATCTCATCACATACACTGTCAGATATCAAGTGCTATCAAAGCTTTTGGTGATCATGGCTAAGCAACAACAAAAAATGGTATGATGTTGCGTCAATTCTAGCACATGAGTGCGATCTTCATAGTGTCAAGGTGGATAAATTAAGAAGACAAATTCATGTACTTCAAGAGAGTCCCTTACAGTTACAAGACCAACAATTTCAGAAGCAACAACATGATGAAGGTTCACCTACCAAGGGAAATGAGCATTCTTTTTATAAGAATGAATTTTTTTAATCATTTTTGTCTTGAGACTAATTTTCAAAACCAACCTATTTCTACATTTAATCCCAAAACAGACCTGTTTTGAACTTATTTTAAAAAAACGACCTAGTTTTAGCCCTGACGCTGAAACCAAGTCAGTTTTTGAAAAAAAAATTCTGAAACTTCATGGGAGTTCAACTCCCGTGAAGCTTAGTAAATCTGCTAAACTTCACGGGAGTTCAACTCCCATGAAGTTTTATATTTAAAAAAATTGAACTATAAAACTTCACGGGAGTTCAACTCCAGTGAAGTTTCGGAAGCTTTTCCACAAAAACCGACCTGGTTTCAGCGCCAAGGCTGAAATCAGGTCGGTTTTTGCAAATAAGTTCAAAACAAGTCGTTTTTTGGTATTAAATGTTCAAATAGGGTGGTTTTGAAAATTTATCCTTTTGTCTTGATAGTTCTCTCTCTTTAATTGAAGAATCTCTACCCCTCTTTGATTATGTCTCGCCGTCGATTTTTTATGAAGATCCAATAAAAGATATCATTTATGATGATCATGGCGAGCCACCCAACTTTGATGACGACTTGCCACCCATCTTTGATGAAAATCCATTCTAACTGTTAATTTTAAAAAAAATGAAGGAGATAGAAATTTTGAGGCGTGAAACACATTCCTTAAAGAAATATTTGCCCCCACTTGATATTCAAAGTTGCTTCGGGTTAATACAAATTTTCTTCCCAGGATACAACAGAAAATAAAAATTCCAGTAAGCAAATCTGGAATTTTTCTTAATTCGTTGTGAAACAAATTTGTAATATTGCAGATGTTTTTTGATAGAAAAGATTCAGAAAAGAATTGTTTTTAGATATCTGAAAACATAAACTATTTATAGGTTTGAAAAGGTGCTTCCAACGGTCATAACTTTTCAAAACACCCATTGGAGCAAACAACCACTTTTCAACAGTCACTTGTCTTTTCATAATTTTTAAAATTCAAAATAACATTAAAAAATATTCAATATATAATTATATATATATAATATAGAACATTTAAGCGACAGCGGCAGCGTGCTAAGTGCATCTAATAATCACGTCAAAATCGCGCATTATTCGCGCCACCCGCACGCGGGTTTAGAAGCCTACACTTTGATCCATTATTCAAAGCCTAATAAGCATTCAATGATTTTAAACCTCTAAAAGAATGTTCAAAATTCCAATGTGGGACTATCTTATTTTTTTTACAAACAAATACTAACAATCCCCCACTTTGTTTGAAAAAACATTTTAATAGTATTATATTTAAAAATAATCTGCAATATGAACAAAATGAGATAAGTATACATATGTAGATGTATCTTTCGATTTAAACCTTTACTTAGTACAAATACCTCAAAGTTCTATCAAAGTCATTAGTTGCCTTAACATTAAACTAATTACTCTTTGAGATAGAATCGGAGAATATTGTACATACACTAATCACTTATTTCAATGAGAATTAATATTTTAGCACTGTTATGGCCTTGTGCTTATTCCTGGTTCATGAACTCTTTAAAGAACAAACCTTTAGCTCTTTTAAGAAGCGGCACCACTTCTAAGTTCATATAGGTGAAACGTCTACAATGTGTTTTCCATTACTTTAAACACACAACAATGATGTATTAGACTTTCATTAAGAGCATAACTCATCCGCTTATTCCGTAATGGACGATATTGACACTATCTTTTAGGGTTTAATGCGTCAATATCAATCAATCACTTTCAGAAACTTGTTATTATCCATTTAAACCATTTAACCAGTTTAGTTCTAGTAAATGGTTGGGTTACCATTCCTGGTGATCTTAAATATAAGGTTTCAGCCCCATTTCACTTGATGTCATCTTTACTACCTCTCTTGCTAGAGGTTTTGTAAATGGATCAGCCAAATTTTTATTTGTCTTGACATAGACAATAGTTATGACACTATCTTGTATCAAGTGTCTCACATATTCATGTCTTAGACTTATGTGTCTAGACTTACCATTATATGTACAATTATAAGCCCTTGATAAAGTGGCTTGACTATCACAATAGATAGAGATAGGAGGCACTGGGCTCGGCCATAACTTAATATCTAGCAATAAGTTCCTAATCCATTCAGCCTCTTTACCAGTTGCTGCTAAAGCAATGAATTCAGATTCCATGGTGGAGTGTGAGATACATGTTTGTTTCTTGCT